TTCGTGTGACTCGGACTCATGCTATATAAATATAACGTTTCAAAATTCATCCGGCGGGCCGGACGTTGCCGACCCCTGTTTTACATGCACTCTTATTTTTATTTATTTATTTATTTTTGCTTTCCATTTTCCGGTTTTTCTTCATCCCATCTCCTTTCTGTGGCTCCCTCTCTGTCTCTATCTGGCTCTGTCACTCTCTATGCATATGGAGGATGCCACTGGAGACATGGCATTGCAAGCCAAAGGGTTACCAGGCCCCAGTGCTAGTTATTGTATGTAATTATCCCACCAATCTGTTCACCTCAGCAGGTGCCTCATGGTGATCATGATTTAGCAATTGTCAAAATGGAGGCAAAAATGGAAAGGAGGTAGGGGGTGAGTGATAGTTCAGGCTGAGAGTAGAGCTTCATTATAGAGGCCCTGGAAGGAGGAGGATGGATGGAGGAGTTGATTGCCTTCTTTAAGTGCAAAACTCTTTGAGGCCACCTTTTCGTTCTGTATCCTCAGCAGACCCCACACCTGCTCTGATGTCTTTACAGGACAGAGGTAATAAAGTCTTAGTTTATGGAAAACTCTTCACTGTTTCCACTGTAGCGGTTCTGAGAAACCTCAATCTTTGTTGACCCCTACTGTTAAAATGCACTTTACAAGTAGAAGAAAGGAAAGATGAATTGTCTGGTGTTTTGTGGTCAAACCTTGGAGCACATAAGACATTTTAATGGATTAATGTCTTGGTGGCTGGTGAGATAGCGGAGCAGTAATTGCATTTGCTCATTCTTCGCACACAGAAGGCTGGACAGGGCTCCAGACTAACATGTCATACACCAAGTCTCTCAGATGGTGGCACCACTTCTGTTTTACAACTTAATGCAAAAGATTCTGTATTTTTCACAATATTTTTTAAATAACCTGGTCATCCGATGTTAATAGCCTACATTTATAATGAAATTCAGAGAGAGGGAGACTTATGGAATAAGTCAATAAATGGAAAAATCACTTCTGGAAAAAGTTTCCACCCATTTTGTAGTCACATTAGTGCTTTATAGCCAAAAATACTTGACGGTGGGTTTCAGCCACCTCTAACTTCGAACTGGGACTTCACTAGACGTGAGTGGCACATATGTGTAACTAAAGTGTTTGATCCTTTCAATCTACACTGACTCTGACCTCCCAGCAGCATCTCTCATAAGAACAGCAGTCTGTCAGCAGGAGGACAGCAGGGTCTTCAACCAGGCTGACTTACAGCAGAAAGGTACTGGGCAAAAATAGTCTTCATGTAGACTCATCAGCAAGAAATCAGCCGTGTTTGTGTGTGGATTTTTAAATTTTATTAATTTTCCCATCTTGCTACAAAAGATGGGGGGTAGTAAAACCAGTGACACAAGGAGCCTGATCCATCAGAAGGCATTCAAGTAAATAGGGCCCAACACATAAATAGGCTAATGGGTGATCTGTCTGATTTAAGCAGCTGTCTTTGGCGATTACACCTCAAATGTGGCAAAAGAAGTAAAAAAACAAATGCAAGATGTAAAAGAAAGGGTCAGTGTGGAGCGACATGTTTGTTAGTCTTGCTTTGTGAGATGAGCAAATGACAGACCTGCAGATAAATGTTGCTATGAGAGTATCATGGAGAGTGTTACGTCTGTCAGCTATTTCTACCATGAGAGCGGTCATTCTGTTTGTTTTGCAGTCTGCACCCAGTGCAACTTTATAAATTTGGTCACCCTGCTGGAGGTTTGTGTCATTGCCAAGTCGAGGCATCATCTCAGTGTTTGTATTTTTCTTTCTATCAGGTCACGCTGCAGGCTGTAAGAGCTTTCATAAACTTAACTGCTTCTAATTTTAGTTAAAAACAAAAATGGCTTAATTTAACTAATTTAATTTTGCTCATTACAGGACTTGATCTTCAGATTATTTTATCTGTCAATCAAGACATTTTCTGCTGACCAACAGTGAAGCTTTATAACAAAATGAAATACCAACTTGTGTCAGTCTGTCAGGCGTAGATAAAAATGTTTTATACCTTTGAAAAAGAGGGGCAGCATGCACTGATTACATGACCCACATCTGACTCAAATTAACTTGTAAGTATTCAGATCCCTTCACTTTTTGCTCACTTAATGCATTATACGTACATTTAAGTTGAATAACATAAAGCTGCCTGTTTTGTCCATTAATCTACACTTAATAACCCACAGTGACAAAGTGAAATGTTTTTATAAATATTTGCACATTTATCAAAAATCAAAAACTGACATTTCTAGCAAAAGTACTCAGAGCCTCAATTCAATACTTTGTAAAAGCTTTTTTGGTATACATTACAACTTCCAGTCTTCTTGGGTAAGTTCTCTTTTTTGGCTGCATTTATCCTTTGAAAAGCCCCAATCTGGCTATCATATTTTTTACTCAAAGTGGCTTCTGTTTGCCCACTCTACAATAAAAGCCTGAATGTTCTAGTGCTGCTTAGATAACTGTCCTTCCTGCAGGATCTCCAATCTCTTCTGACACGCTGTTGGAGTGACTGTTAGGTTCTTGGTCACCTCCCTGACCAGTGCCCTTCCTGCCTGGTTACTCAGTCTGGCCTGACAGCACACTGTAGAAAACATCCTGGTGATTCTGAATTCCTTCAGTTTTACAATGATTGTGGTACAGAGAGTCCTTTTTTATACCCTGTGTATGGTTTGGTTTTTGTTCTGACATGCAGTGTGAATGGTGCGACAGTCAGCAAAGGTTCTGAATACTTTTGTAAACGAGATTTAAAATTTTGCCAAAATTTCTAAAAACATGTTTGTACTATGAGCAAAAATGGCAGTTTCATCCCTTTCAAATTAAATTTACAACACAATAGTGTGCAAAAATCAGGGACCTGAATACTTTCCAAAGAGATTGTTTGACGTTGACCTACCTTTCAGTTGACGGCAACAGCAAGTTGATGCCCCTTTTTTTTTTTTTACTTTCTTGTTTTTATCTTCTTCCAGAAGACGATCAAGAGAAAAAAAGCAGCAGATGAAGAGACTGAGACGGATGGAAGTCCTGTCAAGAAACAGAGAGTCACAAAGAAAAAAGGTATGATCACAGAGCAGAGGTTGTTTTGTCCATTTACAGTTTTGTCTCCACTCTTCTCTGCTTATTTTATCAATGATAATCTCTCTTTAAGGATAGGGGTAATACCAAATACAAATTCCAGGTACTTTCAGGATTTTCCAACAGTGTAGTCAATTATGATTGCTCAAACAGATTTGAATTTGCAGTCATCACCACCACCTGTTACTCTGACTGAGAAAACCTTAGTAAAGAATCCTGGGACAAAAACAGTGGTGTCCCGGGATCAAATCTGATAGGGAACCTTTGTTCAATTTTATCTTTTTATGGTTACATTCCATTGAGCTTATTTGATCCAGTCTGCCATCTTAATGTCCCAAAGATCTTATTTGTGTTTAGGAAAAAAGGAACAATCTCTGAGAAGGAAGGAAACGTAAGATGGTCCCTTACAGACATCTTTTATCGGACTGCCTGACCTCCTTATTAGAAATCCGTTAGAGATTGGATGCTGCAGGTGATCAGGCTGATGTGATGCTACATCATAGTATCGCCAGTTTTAAACCAACTTGAAGAGATAAATTAGAAAAAACTATTATGTTTTTCAGATTCATTATCTCTTTAAAGGTATTTGTGGATCTGTGTTTGGCAGGTTTGATTGACCAGAGAACCATGAGTAGCTTCCTTAATTACATTACTTGTATTCATAGGAACAATTTGTTTCATCAAGATCTACTAGCCTATTTCCCGCTATGAAGAAAATAACTGGAGAGGAGGAGAGTCTGATCTTTGAGCAGTTAATAGATTTTGTTAATCGTCATTTCCATTCAGTCACGTGAGGCTGAAAAGCCCTTTGTCAGGTAGAAATATATTCTGATGTGATATAATTACATAATGTGCATAGTGGTACAGCATTTGGCCTAATAAATAATTTCTACATAAAACATTCTATTCATAGCCTGGATTATTGAATAATAAATTTACAAGGAAGCGACCTAAGTGAAGGAAACGTGGATGCATTTAACAAGTAAGAGATGCACTGTCTCCCACATTTCATGTCTCAACTGTTTCCTTGTAATTTAAGATTAAAATTACCCAAAATAAAAAAAAAATTAACCATGTTGCCCAGGACTGCATTAATATATGTATACCCAGTTACATGAAATATGTTTAGCCAGACACAAGTCAAAGACAAAACTAATGGTAAGCAGTGTCAAAATATTGCATATTGATGCCTAATAAGGGGGAAGTGCTTTACTGCCCGGCTTAAACTTGGTGAATTTTCCCTTTCCCAGAAGTGAACGGAGTTAAGAAGAGTCCCAAACAAACCAGACCAAGAAAGGTTCCCAGCACTGGCAAGCAGGGTGATCCCAAATCCAGACTGGTGGACATAGGCACCCAAACCTCACCTGGACTCAACCAGAAGCCCAGAGGCAGACCCAAGAAAACCAGTGCCTAAAACATCTGTCTACATTCTCCACTCTACTTCCATCCTCTTGTCCTTCTTAAAAGGTTTTATATGCTATGATTTTCTATCTGTTATGCACTGATAGATGTTGATGTTTAATTGTATTTGGTGTGGTTGCCAGATTTATAGTAATAAAGAAGAAGTTGTCAATTTTTATTTGTAATGAAGTTGAAGATAGGAGTGTGAAAGGGAGTCTTGGCGGCTGTGTGATTCTTCTCAGTGGCTGGTGCTGCACAAGCGTGATCAAGATGCAGAAGATAAACTGCATTTTATGGTGCCATTGGAACAACCCCACTAACTCAGGTTTCAGGCAAGTCGGTCCCAGCTCCTTTCTTAATGAGGCACTCATTTTAATTTAAGTGCACGTTGGAATGAATAGAACCTTCTGCAGAAAGCGTCTCCACACAGCCACTGGGACACAAACACAGGCAACAGTTGGAAAGACTGCAGGGGCCTGGTTAGGAAATGTCTTCCTGAGCTGAGTCCAGTAAAGAGAGAGGCTCTGTCATGTCCTGGTTCTGGTAATGGTATTATTAGGCGTTTAGGAATGTTACTGTACCAGACAGGTAGGCTAAGTGGGAAAACAAAAACAAAGAAAGAGGACAAAAGGATTTATTGTTGTATTAAATTGCATGAGTTTTAGGTAGTGTAGGTGCACCTAATAAACTGGCAATTGTATGTTTAGCTTCAGTTTGAGTTTTATGATTTTATTTTCACATGTGTTTTGGTTACATTTAAAATTATAATTTTTTTGGCACCACAGCAATGATAAATCATCCTCTGTAAAGGGGTGTAACTAAAAACAGTGTTAATAGTAAATAAATCATTTACATCAGTTTCATATGTATGATTAATATGAGCTTTTAGGTTACCAGAGTGAGAAATCCTCTGCCTGACTTTCTTTTATAAAAGAGAAAAACTTTGATAATGCATTCTGAAATGCTTCCATACTTTCTAATAACATCTCAGTGGTTTCCTGCAGGTGTTTTCAAAAGTTATGTGGTTTACCTTGTTGATGAATGAGACGGCTGAAAGAACGTGGTCCTGCTGGATGTTAAAATCCTGAAATCTTCTTTTGAATGGTTTACTTCTGATCTATAAAGCATTGGCAAATTACTTTTTATCCATTAAATTAATGAGTTCATCAGAAATTGAGTAAATGTGAACATTATGTTCTGCGTGCCCAACACTGGCAGCTAGTGTGAGCAGAGGAATCTGATTTTCTACGACACTTACACTATTATCATACATTCACTTCAGTTGAAAGTTTAAAGTCAGTAAAAAAAAGCAGTAAGAGCTTCCACCACTCAAGAAATATAAATGTGCACTTTCTCCAGCCTTTGAGGAAGCACAGGCACCACCTCCGAGCCCAATGCATTAGCTCAAGTAATGCATGTTTAAGAGGAGACGGGATGAGAATAACTTTTTCCAAATAGACCTCGTCAGACCTGAGTCACCAGCCTGCATGTGAAAGTACAGCTCTTTTTCTTCTTGTCCATCTCTGTCGTGCTGCTGCAATGTCACATTTCTGACAGATATTTTTCAAATTGTTGTATCAGACACAGTGAGCGTACAGGAACATTTCACACATGAGAAGTGCCTGACCCCCCGCCTTTTTCATTTACTCCCAACAGGCTGTCCCCCTCCTGCCTCCCTTCCTTCCCCATGGAGGAAGACATCTTCACTAATGTTAGGTTTGTGGGGGCCCCTGTGGTGGCTGGTGGCTTGCTATTGATTGTTCCAGCCTCTTAAATAGTAAAGAGCCCCCACCGCCTGCCAGATACTGACCTTGGGGGCGCCACTGGCATGGTCCCACAGTAGGGGGCAGTAGTACATAATGATAGCAAATGGATGTAGATGGGAGGGGGGGTGTGGGTGGGGGGGTGTTGGAGAGATGAGGGGAAGAGGGACAGCTCTTAAACACAACACTACCATCTTTTCTGCTTGCCAGGAGATGTGCACAGTTCCACCCTGACCAGCCTTCTACATTCAGCGTGGATGTGTTATGGCCAGCCTGACAGGCAGTTGTTGCCCATGGGTTTGCTGTGACCAGCCTCTGATTGGCTAGCTGATGGAGTGTGAAAGCCTCACAGCAGTGGCCTAACCACTGCTCTCATGATACAGATGCCAGCCCTCCCTGGGAAGACACGCCAATAACTCAATAACAGTTTCCCCTACCAGTGGGTTTTCCTGTGTTTGTGACAATTGTCAGCATTTTGGTGAGGTGGGGCATGAGGGGACCCAATGTGTTCAAACTGAAGTGTAAAGTAGAGCTGGGACAGGCTTCATGCAGCTCCAAAAGTTCAAACATAAAGGAAAAGTAAACAAGGAATGTTTTCTTCCATTCTGTGCTTTCAATTAGCAATGTTTGAAAGTCATGGATATTTTGCAAAGTTGCATCAGATTGCTGGCATCAGGCTGGTATTAAAGTGAGGTGGCTTACTCATAGAGGAATGTTAGATTTCCTAATCAAATAATTTCATTTGTTTTTATAACCCTACTTTTTATAAAATAGTGACGGAACACTTTGCTAGACTGTTTGATATTAAAGCTATGTAGATTTTTTTTTTGTGATTTCAGCAAACAAAGCTGGATTACACCCAAAGAATCAGTTGGTCATGGTAATTTGATTAAATGCAAGAGAGTGCAGCAGTGTAAATCATACTGAAGAGTCAGAATCACTAAACCTGTGAGGAAAGTTCTCAAAAAAGTACAAAACTTTTGAATTGAAATCATGTTCAGAATAAACTCTGTCATAAGTAAGCGAAGGTGTTGGAAGGAGCTTCAGCTCTAGAATATCTCAGTGTTGCAGTGTGTTAAGATTTTGTCTGACAGCAATGCTCTAGCCAGAACATCTGCTGGGATGTGTTCGGCCACGCAGCTCAGCAGCCTTCAAGCAGGTACTCCCATTTATTTAAATGTATTTGTTTTGTTTTTTTTTTGTTTTTTTTTACATTTTTCTTTGTTTGCATAAGTAATGTTGGTGTCATGAATGTGTCCACATTTTTGTACTGTGTCATATCTGTACCTTAGTGTAGCTGCTGTGAAGAGTTTAGGAAACGACAAACACAAGAGCATGTGACCTAGTCTGAAATAAATACTGTACATATTTTTATTGATTCAAGAGTGTCCAAGTGACTGCAAAAGTATTCAATTCACAGTAAGGAAGGGTGCTGATGGTGCCTTGCCTCCATAACTTGCCTCCATAATATTCCAGCACACTTTGGTTTTGGTCAGGAATTAAGGGTTATCCAAAATTATTATTAACTGCAGATTTGGGTGATAATTCTCTCTGGGCCTTGTAATATTAGGGACCACTTTCACATGATTTTTTGATCCTTTGTTGATATTAAAAAACATTTAGTGCAGCTTTTAAATTAGAGTTGAGGTGTTAAGTATTGTGAAAAAAGTAATTATTTAAACACAGCGTTTAGGAGCATTTAGCAGCTAAAGAGAGAGACCAAAGACGGGTAAAAGAAAGCAAGTCCACGACTTAGAATCTTTAGGCGGAGACAAACACAACTCCCTTAAATGCTAATTTGCATGTACTGTATTTCTAATTTGTGGTCGCAGCCTGGGGCATTTTACTATTAAGCATGCACAAGCTATAAATATGTCACATACCTTAAAATTAAAATAACATAGGCTGAGACGAGCAATATATAACAAACTACAATAAAATTGATTGTGGTGCATTATATGATAAAGGTAGAATTAAAAAAGAAATTCTATGGGAGGCCTAACATTTTAAATGTACAGTATAGTTAATGAACACTGAAAGAACACGTGCTGTACTGTCTTAGCTTTTACTGCTGTTCAATTCTAGCATCTTTCTTAGGAATATTTGAACTGTAAATAAAATATTACACACACACCCTTGTTTTTGTCACT